CGATCGGCCTTTTCGGCCTGAAACCGGCACATGCACAGTTGCTTCAGGGGATACATATCTTCACGGGTTCGGGATTCTCATTTTACCACTACACCAGGGGCAGCTGTCACTGTGCCGGGAATCCGGGATCACCCCAATAACTGACCAGGACCATCACTGAGCCCAGGAACTCTGCTGGCATCCTGCTCCTGCACCCCTGTGATGGTGTCACCCGGTGCGGCCCGCAACCCCTGCCCCCCTAGGGACACCACTGCAGTCTGTATTGCCCTACAGCAATCAGTAAGATTCACACTTTCATTGTTCATTGTGCAGCTTTGGAGCCAAATGGTTAAAGGGAAATGCATCAGACTATAGAGTGTGTAATATAGGAAAGAGCTGAAGAGCACTTACTTCTTTGCCTGCAAGTACCTGTTTCAAACTTTTCAAACAAATTACAATCTGATTCTATGATCCCTGTACAATGCCCTTTAACCACTTCAGCTCTTGTACCTTTAAACCCCTTATGGCCTTTCTTACATTTTTACTATTGGCCAGTTTATTTGACAATTACTTTGTCATTAGTTAGGATAACAAATTAATACATATTGTACATTATATTTTGGGGGACAAACTAGGCCTTTTTGGCAATATTGTCTAGCAAAAAATATAAATAGAAACAGCAGCAGAAAATCAGTAACTAAAGGGAAAGGGAGAAGGTGGAAAAGGATGGTGTTAATTAGGACTGGTTATGTAAGGGGTTAAATAAAAATACCTTTTTTTAACTAATAAGGTTTGTTCATTGTTTTCATATGCAAATTCAAGGTCACACATACAGTGGGGATCGAAAGTTTGGGCACCCCAGCTAAAAATTTGTATTACTGTGCATAAAGAAGCCAAGGAAAGATGGAAAAATCTCCAAAAGGCATCAAATTACAGGATTAGACATTCTTATAATATGTCAACAAAAGTTGATTTTATTTCCATCATTTACACTTTCAAAATAACAGAAAACAAAAAAATGGCATCTGCAAAAGTTTGGGCACCCTGCAGAATTTATAGCATGCACTGCCCCCTTTGCAAAGCTGAGACCTGCCAGTGTCATGGATTGTTCTCAATCATCGTCTGGAAGACCAGGTGATGTCAATCTCAAAGGTTTTAAATGCCCAGACTCATCTGACCTTGCCCCAACAATCAGCACCATGGGTTCTTCTAAGCAGTTGTCTAGAAAACTGAAACTGAAAATAGTTGACGCTCACAAAGCTGGAGAAGGCTATAAGAAGATAGCAAAGCGTTTTCAGATGTCAATATCCTCTGTTCGGAATGTAATTAAGAAATGGCAGTCATCAGGAACAGTGGAAGTTAAAGCAAGATCTGGAAGACCAAGAAAAATATCAGACAGAACAGCTATTGTGAGAAAAACAATTCAAAACCCACGATTTTGACTGCACGATCCCTCCAGAAAGATCTGGCACACACTGGAGTTGTGGTACACTATTCCACTATAAAGAGATACTTGTACAAATATGGTCTTCATGGAAGAGTCATCAGAAGAAAACCTCTTCTACGTCTCACCACAAAAATCATCGTTTGAACTTTGCAAATGAACATATAGACAAGCCTGATGCATTTTGGAAACAAGTTCTGTGGACCGATGAGGTTAAAATTGAACTTTTTGGCCGGAATGAGCAAAGGTACGTTTGGAGAAGAAGGGGCACAGAATTTAATGAAAAGAACCTCTGTCCAACTGTTAAGCATGGGGTTGGATCAATCATGCTTTGGGGTTGTGTTGCAGCCAGTGGCACAGGGAACATCTCACGAGCAGAAGGAAAAATGGATTCAATAAAATTTCAGCACTTGATGCCATCTGTGAAAAAGCTGAAGTTAAAGAGAGGATGGCTTCTACAAATGGATAATGATCCTAAACACACCTCAAAATCTACGGGGGATTACATCAAGAGGCGTAAACTGAAGGTTTTGCCATGGCCTTCACAATCTCCTGACCTCAACATAATTGAAAATCTATGGATAGACCTTAAAAGAGCAGTGCGTGACAGACAGCCCAGAAATCTCAAAGAACTGGAAGACTTTTGTAAGGAAGAATAGGCAAAGATACCTCAAACAAGAATTGAAAGACTCTTGGCTGGCTACAAAAAGCGTTTACAAGCTGTGATACTTGCCAAAGGGGGCAGTACAAGATATTAACTCTGCAGGATGCCCAAACTTTTGCAGTTTTCTGTTATTTTGAAAGTGTAAATGATGGAAATAAAATCTAACTTTTGTTGACATACTATAAGAATGTCTAATCTGTAATTTGATGCCTTTTAGAGATTTTTCCATCTTTCCTTGGCTTCTTTATGCACATTAATACAAATTTTTAGCTGGGGTGCCCAAACTTTCGATCCCCACTGTACCTATTTATAAATGTCATTGTAAATACAGTGAAACTATACATATTTGCTACACAGTTTTTACTGAATGATACATGCAGTCATTTAAAAGTGTCATTTTACACAGGAGCAGCTGCATTTTGGCAGCCCTTACTGCTGTGTAACACAAAAAAAATTACTAGCTGCCATTTTGAGAGCTGGTAAATTCTTGTAATAGAAGCAGAGGGAAATAGAAAGAAAGGAACAGGATATAAGAAATGCCTAAATGTCATTAGAATGTATCTCTTAGAGAAGAACTTAACCCTTTTTATTATAAAAATTACAACAAAAGAAATGTTTAGTAATGGCAGTCTACCAATAGATACTTTTAAAGAATTGCAGGATTTTTTTTTTTTTTTTTTCAAATACCATGTGTCAGGAATGGACTCGCCAATAGTGGTGGGACTCACCTGCCTTGTGGGTTGCAGTACCAGGGCTGGCCAGCGGGTGCTCTCAGCAATCAGAGGCTCATTCCTGCAATCAGCCAAAACACCTGAGGCTGATTGCAGGAGGTGCATATAAGGAATGGCCAGACCTGTAATCAGGGCCTTGGTGTATGTTGCCCATGAGCCCCTGTATCTTGTTCCTGATTCCTGTTACCTGTGTTCCTGTAGTGCGTTCCTTGTTGCCGACCCTGCCTGTTCTGATCCATGCTGACATTCTCCTGCTCTGACCCCCGGCTCGTCCCTGACCATCCTTCTGCCTGATCCTCTGTACCGTGCTGCCCGTGAGTTACTGAACCCGGCGTGTGACCTGACTACTCTTGTCTGCTGCTTGTACCGTGCCTGTCCCCACCGTTACTGACCATGCTCGCTCCTGACTGTCATCCATCCATCCATCCCGCTCGGACCTGGACCTGCCAGCACTCTCTACCACAGCCGGACGCACTCAGGGGTCGCGACCTGGTTCCAGTCTGCACCAAGTCCATCCCCACCATCAGGGGCCCTGGTGAATAGCAGGCTGGGACTTAGACCCCGCGCATTGAGGAAATCCATGCTGTGGGCTTGGCCTGCCTGACCACTCCACCTCTCCAGCCCTGAGTGCACTGTGTACCTATTGGTTTGTTTTGTTTGCACTGTGTAACTATTGGTTTGTTTTGTTTGCACTGTGTACCTATTAAGTTTGTTTGTTAGTACTGTGTTACCTATTAGCTTAAGGTTAGTTTTGTTTGCACTGTGTTTGTTTTATTTGTGCAGCTAATAATAAATATTATTATTATACCATATCTGAAGCCTGTGTTTCCCTGTGTCAGTCCACACACCTCTGGTCATACCTGGAGTCCTGACACCATGCCTGGCTATTTTCACCTATAGTTAATTAATCCATCTCCCTTTACCTTCTAGAACCCTGCTCAGAAAGTGGAAGAACCATAACTGTAATTCGGAAAATAAATTGTTTATCCAATGAATGTATGATGATTTCAGATCAACATGTAGAGCTGTATGCTGATGTGTTTTTTAGAAATGGAAGAAAGGTCAGATTTAGGTTCAAAAACCTTGAGTTTGAATTTACCAACAACTTTTTAATCTGTGGACCTAACAAAACAATCCATTCAATTTATATCCAGTCAGGACGGCCAACACACTACATAACTGTTAGTAGTCTAACTGAACAAATAATTAGATGTTAGTGGTCTATAAAAGATTGATTCCAATGTGTGTAGTCAGCTTTAGACTTCCAGTAAATTGTTGTGTTCCTGTGGAGACCTTTTGTATCCTAGGCCCAAGCTATGCTCAGGACCATGACATCTATCTTAACCCCTTCATGCCTAAGGGTAAAACAAATCTTAAAGCCTAAGTAAAATTTTACAACTTTGACATGTGTTAGTAAAACCGTACATATCATCACAGCTACTTTGTACATCCAGGTGAATTATACCTTGTTTTTTTCAGGACAAATTGGGATTTCATTTGGTGGTAAATGGTAATGGATATCTGGTGATTTATTCTATTATCAAAGGAAAACTGGCCCAAAATAGTAAAAAAAATATATTTTTTTAAATTTAGCTGTGTGTTTCTTGTTACTACCATAACCTACCACCAAAGAACAACCCAAAATACATTTCCCTGCTCTCGACGATCGCAACGATACCATATATGTGTATGTTATTTGTTGTTTGTACCTGTACTGCAGCCCAGAAACCATGCGCATTTTGTTTTTTTTATACCTAAAACACACTGACACTAATTTAACCACTAGCATACAGGGCACTTATACCCCCTTCCTGCCCAGGTCAATTTCCAGATTTCAGCGTTGTCACACTTTGAATGACAATTGCGCAGTCATACAACACTGTACCCATATGAAATGTTTTTATCATTTTTTTGATGACAGAGCTTTCTTTTGGTGGTATTTAATCACTTCTGGGTTTTTTATTTTTTCTTAAACCAAAAACCACTAAACATTTTGGAAAAAAAAAAAACGTTTTTTTTAGTTTTTGTTATAAAATTTTGTAAATAAGTGCTTTTTCTCCTTCACTGATATACGCTAATAAGGCTGCAGTGGTGGGCACTGATAGGCTGCACTGTTGGACACTGATAGGTGGCACTGATGAGGAGGCACTGGTAGGTGGCACTGATGGGCATTGACAGGCATCACTGATGGGCACTGAAAGGCAGCACTGATATATGGCACTGATAGGCGGCACTGACTGGCACTGATAGGCGGCACTGATTGGCACTGATAGGCAGCACTGATAGGTGGCACTGATTGGCATTGATAGGTGGCACTGATGGGTGACACTGAAAGACAGCTCAGATGGGCACTGATATGTGGCATTGATGTGGAACTGATTGGCACTGGCATGAGGCACTGATGAGCACTGACACAAGGCACTGATGGACACTGACAGGTGGCACTGCTGGGGCTACACTGATCATCAGGGCACACTGATCATCAGTGCCCTGATGATCAGTATAGATGTCCCCTCCGCGGAAAGCCGATTACCGGCTCTCCTCTCCTCTTGAGCTTTCAGCGTGACAGCTCGGGAGGAGAGAAATGCCGATAACCTGCATTTCCCTGTTTACATGTGATCAGCTGTGATTGGACACAGCTGATCTCATGACCGAGCCGACCTCTTCGGCTCTTTCCGTGATCGGTGATCTGCTGTGTCTGAGGGACACAGCGCACTGCCGATCGCCGTGTTGCGCACTCCCTGAGCCGCGCATGCGCGGTGAGAATGGGAGGACGTCATAAGACATCCTCCCAGAATAAGAGAACCACCTTGCGCCCGTCATTGGACTATATGGCGGGCGGGAGGTGGTTAAAAAAAAAAATGTGACATCGGGAGTCCCGGGTCCCGATCGTTAGAACAGGACCTGGGGCTGTCAGTGACACCCCGGTCTTTGTGCTGGGAGTGCGCTGTGCGGCGCACTCCCAGCACAAAGACAGGTACACAAACATGTGGCCCCACAGAAAAAAGCCCAATTCTGTGAGGGCGCATGTTTGTGTGACATTGGCATCAAGGGAAAAAGCTCTCACACACACACATTACCATACAATACAACCTCCTATACAGTATATCTACTAACAACTATGTAGTAAGAGGTCTACCTGATTGTATACAAACTGAATGGCTAGTTTAAATAGGACTTCCTATTACATACTTTTTGGTCATTTGCAAGGATTGTATAAAACCTGTGCAGTCAGATTCAATCTAATTCTAAATATTATATATCTCATTTATCATGAGTCAGATTTCAAGAACTTCAAAGATTGCCTGTCATGAATCGATTTCAGTGTAAAACACTGCATAATTAAAATATATAAATATATTCATACATTCACAAATACAATATATTCCATTGTGCATGTTTTTATTTTTGCATATCTAAGCAGATACTCTTAGCTATGTCCTAAAGTTATTTATGTATTTTTTATGTGAGCAAACAAGAGACAGATAAGTTGAAGAGCAAAGAAAAAAACTAATGGGGTCCAGTTCTCATTATAATAATCCTCAAAAATAAACCCTTAACTTGGATGTCACCAACAGCATTTTAAATGTCTATATCCACAACTACTACTTGCAAATGTACTATTTAAATTTAAAAATAGAGTAAATCATAATCTTGAAAATATTAATACTAAGTAACTATCATTTCTTTTTGCAGATTTGCCACTTTTTAGAAAAACTGAAACCTAAAACGATCCCTTTAAGGATATTTGATTTCCACTGACAGGGCATCACACAACCAGGCTGGTAAAACACATTTTACACAGGCCAAATATCCTAATGTATGCCATTACTACTGTTTTGTTCCCTGTACAAAAACAGTATAGCTTAGACATTAAAGTATATGTAAAGGCAATTTTTTTATGTGGACAGAGTAGAGAAATCATAAAATCCCTATTTTATTGTTGTCTGCCCTTATAGGTAGATTCATTTTCACTTGCACTGGTGACCACTATCACTGAGACAGAAAGTAAAAGGAAATCCAAAAATTGTCTCCAGAACAAAAGATGATGAAAACTCTTCCAATGGAACACGTGTTCTGGGGACAAATGTCTAAGACAGGAATTCCCTTCACTTTGTAAAAATCTCCTCCCACTTCATGTTGGTTCTCCAGCGCAGAAATTGAGAGACTCCCCATTGGAACAGAAAAAGCGAAACCACAATCAAGCAATGCCTCTATACTGTCTTATTTTTTTTAATTGAATCCAGAAATTAAACATACCTACGCCAAATGGCTAGGAAAGAGGCAAGGGAAACCCCTTCTGCATTGCTGTACAGAATTATTCAGAGTGATTTGTTTTCCCTGAAACAATGGAGAATCCCTTTAAAATAGCTATGAAGAAAAAAGCTACTGTAAATCACAAAAAAAAACACCACTCACATATAATAACTCAAGAATTGACAAGGAAAAAAAACCACAAATCCCTAATTCCCACAAAACTTACTAAAAATACTTTGCGGCATCAATGAATTGTAGGTGACAGCATTGTGGAGACCATCAGTTTATCATGACATAGATAAATCCATGTATGAACAAGCTGTATATCCTAGAAGAGAAACAATTGCATTCATTAAATGCGAAATGAGAGCTGGATTATACAAATGTTATTTTACAGGTCTGCAGTGGCCTTGGAATAGAGGAAAAAAACATGTTTTGCATTGACTTTTGAAGATAAATAATGTATGCAATACTTCCATTTGTATATCCCACTTGAATTGGCATTTGTCAATTTCTTCAGTACATACATACAGATCCACTCACTGACTCTGTCTTAATTAGACAACCTGAGAGTTGCTAGTGTACAGTACAGTTTTGAAACATGACATCTAAGAAGAAGTACAGAGCTGTAATGGTACTGCCCTCTTTGCCTCCGAATGCTGGAATTCATGTGAAGAAAATAAATTATGCAGGGAATGCAGAAAACATACTAAGAGACATACTGAAGGTCAGGTTCAGCACCAAGCAGCTTCAAAGCCTATTGGTGACATGACCAGAGAAAAATGTAACTACTGTACAGAGATTAGTGCATTGTTTATTCCTTTCCCTTTAAATGCTAGGTTATAATTCATCTTAAAAAATCTGCTTTCAGAGCACAAGCTCAGCATTTCATTAAAAAAAAAAAAAAACAACAATCTTGCGATTGGCAGCAGCTTGGCACAAGGCGTTTTCCCTGCTGTTTGCACCTATTTAAGTTAGTGGGTTTCACTATGCAGTAGCAAAACCCACAAGCGTCACTGCTGCTTTAATCTGCCAGTTAACACTTAGTCAATACACCTGCTCATAGCAAGCTTTTGTAAAATGTTATACAATTTCATGGGTAATGGCAAAAAGAGAACTGGTCACCTACACAACACAGGATTCATTGTCACAGATCAATATAATCACTACATGTTGAAAAGATATATTATTATTATTATTATTATATTATTATACAGGATTTATATAGCGACAACAGTTTGCTCAGCGGTTTACAATATAAGGGGAGACAATACAGCAACAATACAATTCAATACAAGAGGGATTTGAGGGCCCTGCTCCTTGGAGCTTACAATCTAGGAGGGAGGGGCTAGTGGTACAAAAGGTAGTAACTGTGGGGGATGGACTGGTTGGAAGAGTAGAAGATTCCAGGATGGCGGGATAGGCTGCCCTGAAGAGATAGGTTTTCAGGGATCGCCTAAAAGTGAGCAGAGTAGGCGATAGTCTGATAAATTGGGTAGAGTGTTCCAGAGGATGGGGGAATCTCTGGAGAAGTCCTGGAGACGAGCATGGGAGGAGGAGACAAAGGAGCTAGAGAGTAGGAGATCTTGAGAGGAGCGGAGAGTACGGTTTGGGTGATATTTAGAGACAAGATCAGTGATGTAATATAGAAAAGGTATTTTAAATTCATAAAGGAGCCTTCATTTAATTGGAGCATAGTATATATAAAAAGGAGATAGCTATTTACTGTACATAGAAAATGACTCAATAAGTCAAGATCTGAAAATATAGCCAAATTAAAGTATGTCATTCTAACATGCCAACAGGAATGTACACAAAAACATAATTCTGAGTATGTTAACATGGGAGTTTGAGAAGGCAGGGACCATTTCATGATACCATTTGGATTTTTAAGCCCAGAGTAGAGAAATGCAAAAGCTTTACATATGCTACTAATTTGGTAACTTATTAGGTGACATTTTTTTTTCTAGATTGTTTTAATAGCTTCTCAGGAACAGTACAATCTTAATCAAAGTAGTAGTGGATTTTTTTGTTCAATGATGTAATAATATGATGAATCTTAAGGATATTCTATATATATTTCTTCTTAGTGGTAAAATATAGTGTGGATTTTCATTATAGGATTTTTCTTGGTCACTAGGTCTGTGGTCTGCTCTGCGTTTGTTCTAGGCCCGGTCTCCGTGAGCCATTGAGGATTCCTCCTCTTTATCTGTTGTGTTGCCATTCCACTGTGGGCTCCCTCTTGTGGAGCTGGTCCATGATATTGTGGGTCTCATTTTCTGTGTAACTCTATACTGAATGTTATGTTATGTGCAAATCATGTTTTCTTTGTTTTACATGATTGACCTTGTATTTTTATTAGTATACTTTGCACAAGTAACTTCCTGAAGAAGTCATGATAGCAAAACATGTAGAAGATTTTGTGTAAAGGACTCAACAGTATATAAACGCATGTACATCATTGTTTCTGCATACTTATTGTTTGGATTGTATTATCTATGTTAATAAAATATTCGGTATATTTTAACTTTTGTACATCATTGGCTACATTAATTGCAATTTTAAATTCCCATTCCTATCCTTTGTATCATTTTTATGTGACCTTAGGGATGTGGTACTATACATGAGTACTTTCTCTCCACATATTTGAATACATATAAAAAATAAATGTGTATGAATACGCACCTGTGGCTTCTCTGACAGTTTTCTATTGCAAATTTAGATTGTGACATATTTTAAATTCACTAGAAAATAGGTATATGGAACTGCTCCCTCCCTGCTAGCAATGATCTGTATACAGGCAAAGATCCGAAGACAGATCTTTTATGATGCATCTTCCATGTTCACCTGTTACAAGCACATACTTGTATAACAAGGAGATAACCAGGCTTCTGTCGGGTATTAACTGTAGTGTTTGGCTGCTAAGTAACCAATGCTGACAATCTTACCACATACCACATAGCAAAATAGACAAAATGCAGCCCCAACTTAGGAGAATAGCTATTACAGAAATTACTTTCCATGGTGTTGTTGTTTCTATAAAGAAATCCACTGCAAGAAAAAAAAAAAAAAAAAAATATATATATATATATATATATATATACTCCAGGAAATACAGGATTGCTGTATATAAACATCCTAGGAAGTAAGTGGTTATAACAAGATCATGGTTGCAGCTGAGCCATGATCCTTGTACAATATTTTCAAGCTGGCGATCGGCATTCCTATAAAATAATCCAGGTGGCTTTATAGCTGCCCAATCACTTTTACAGTGCTTGAAATCCACCCCCCTTTCATTGCAATCCACCATAATTCCCAGGCCCTCCCATTCCACCAGTAAGCAGCTGGGATAGCTTCCCTATAGAGGGCAGCCAAAAATGCAGATTTAAACATGTACGTAAAAATTTCCCCAGGTAGGCAAGTGGTCAAATACATATAAGGTTGCTGTCTT